TCTCGTTAGATTAATCCAATAAATTTCATTCACTCCACATATTCAATCCTATAGACACTCTTTTAATTCTTCATCATAGACATAACTCGATTTCATAAAACAGTCAAGAGTAATCACACCCACTTCATTAAAATCCTGATTCACTAGTACAACACTGACTTCAGCAACGATTGCCTCAGTCTTTCCGAAACCCTATGAAGAAAAAAAAACCCCAATTCTCTATCTTTTTTTCCTGCCTCGGAGCATGAAGCTAGCTCTTCGACCCTTCACAAACTTTATTCTCTCCCCTTCAAAAACTCATTCTCTCCCCTTTCATTTTTTAACCTATTCTCTCTTTTAACCCTAATTCTCCCCTCTTTCAAACCCTAACCTCTGAATTTCTTCAATCTTCTGTCTTGAATCCGGAATTGGCTCCTGCCATCAGAGCTTTCTCCTCCATTTTTACCTTTAAGAGATCTTTTTTCCGAAAACAACATTCCATGAAACGGCATAGAGAACAGGACAGCCTGAAACAGAATCGAACCCCCGTAATCGGGACCACATTGAGTCGTCCGACCAATTCAGGTCTCATATTAGCTAAGACACCTGTAGTAAGACCTGGATGTTCCCGCAATTGGATCGCATTGGGTTGCCCGACCAATTCAGGTCTCATATTAGGTAAAAGGCCCGTAATATGACTTGGATTGGATGTCTTGAAATTGGATCCAATTGGCTCTTTGAACTAGGCTCACCTATCTTTGAATTGGTCTTTTCCTTCCTGCTGACTCCCGTTATTGGAATCGAATGGAGCATTTCAATATGCCTCGGCTGAGTGTAATAGGGTGAGTGAACCTAGCCTCTCAGTATTTGCACTGGAATTGGTCGTTGCTCATGATATTCGAGGTAACTGAACATTAATAAAAGTCCTCTTTCTTTATATTTTCACAGTATACTCATGTTACAACACGACATCCACCCCCTCTGAACCTGTGCATCCTCCGGTATGCACCAATTTACCTAATTGCTGTTTGATTTAGAATATATTCTCTACGTCTTTGTCCAGTTCGTCTTCGTCACCTTCATTATCCAAATCACTTTCATCTCTTGCTGCTTACCTAACTTGCGTAATTCTCCTTCAATATCATATAATCTTTTTCTTTCTTTTCTTTTAAAATCATCAACTTTTTTATACATAATATTTCCATTCTCCAAAATACCAATAAAAACTCGCATCAAAGGCACCTTCATCTCGCAAGAGTACCTCCTCTTTTGTACCTCCATAATCTCGCTTTACAGTGGTACCTCTCCAAAATCCTTAAATCCTTCAACAATCTTTGGCAATGGTTTCTCCCTCAACCTATCTCGATTCCGTTCATGGTTAGGAGGTACTATTAGAAATTATACAACTTTTCTCCTATCTTTGCTACGTACCCTTGCATAAGCAGAATCATCGTCAATTACTTTTGTTTCCATCCGTATTACCGTAATATAAGGTTGTCCTAAAATCAACGGATAAGACGTTGTATCTTGAACGAAGAAATGTTGCTCCGTCGCAACATCTCCAATCCGAATTTTGACATCTGGACAAGCTCCATATAATTCGCCCCATGTGTTATTAGCTGCTCGTATTGCCCATCCATGTTCCATATCAATTGGCCATTTTTGCTTCTTATAAAGATCTTTAGACATGAAATTTATTTCAGAACCATGGTCGACCAAAGCAACTATTGGTTCTTCTATATCTCGTATCTTCACCAATACATCAGTAGTTATCCTTGCCCAATGCTTTCGAGTATAATGGCTCAAAGTTCCCATTTCCTTGTCACTAGAATCTTCGAAACGTACTCGCTGATTATACCCATTCTTTTCATTTGTTGGTTGCTTGTAACCCATATCAACCTCTTCTTCATCTTTATATATTCTTGCATCAATAGCATGACTCATTCCAGTTTCGCCCATTAATTGCCTCTTTAACTTAATGCTGTGAATGATAACATCAAGAAACTCCTTCTTTGTAATTTCCAAGACTTCTTTCAATGTGAATTCCACCTTAGCGTTTAATATATGTTCTTCCAACACCCCTTTCAAATTTGTTGCCGCTTCAATGTCAGAAAGTAGCTTATAAGCAATTGATTTGTCCTTATCTTTTATCTCCCTTCTTTTTTCTTCCAATGATGTTGAGGTATCCTTTACAGGCAATTCTTGTGAAGTTGCCTCCCGAGCCTTGTCTCCTCGAGTTTGTCTCTTAGAAAAATTTCCTTCTCTCGTATCATCAAAATTTTCTCGTCTCTTTTCTTCCATCAAAGCTTCATGTTGGCTCTTAGCAATATATGCATGAACTGAAAGAGACTCAACAGGATCCTCCCAACCTGTTGCACCTCGTATTGTAGCTGCAGTCCTCAATAACGCTTCTCAAGGTAATTTCCTTTCTTGCATTATAGAAATGGCAGAAGCCCAAAACTCACTAGTTTCTGTTCTTCTACCAAGGTCATCATCTACTCTAGTACCATAACTTGCACTTTCTCGTGCTGTTGTTTCATACTCTTTTAAGTAATCTTGAACCAATGCTCTCATTCCTCCCTTGCCAAAATTGGTTTGAAGAAGATCCTCCCTATCTTTTAACACTATCTTCTCATCTTTTCAGCCAATTATTCCTTGCCGTATCATATT